ACGATTTAGAGGTAAAATTCATACTACATTGCCTGTTTTAAAAATGAACATTTCAAATATATTAGTTCTGATATATGTATATAATTGCTCAGTTATATGAGAGTGTACTAAGGATATAAAGCTGTCAACTAGCATGCAAACAAACGCAACATTATTTTTCTTTCTGAAACTTTAAACGAATTAACAGTTGCAAACTACTGGTATATTTGACTATATGTTTCAAATATATTGTATCCTTGTGTTTACAAATCAATAGTGGACAGTTCGTGAGATAACATCAATTCATGGCCAAAAAAGGACGAAAAGACAAACAACAATATCAAAACATCACACAGAAAACAAAATCACTGAGCAAAACGGACCTCGCCAATGTATGCTAAAGTTTTCAGTTTGATTTTCCACATCATATGATGTTGTACACACCGTCACATACTAATTTTATAATGGGCTATCCAACCTATATTCATACTTTCAGTCTTTGAGCAGTCACACTAATAGTTTTTGAATGAAATTGTTAAACTGTAGAAAATGTTCTTGTTATTTCAGATATCAGATGAAAGAAATCACATAATAAGAAGTGCAATGGAAAAATTCGAAATATTGTTGTCGAATAAGCTTTTCCTAAAGTCACTCATCCAAACGTTAGATAGACCAAATATGCTTACAATACAAGAAAAGTAATAATGATATATTATATTTGTTCGTTATTGACCTTTATACAAAATATAATAATTGATGATTAGCCATCTATATTTTATCTAATGCATACTACTACACACCATGGTAAGTTTTATCAATGATAATTTCATATCATGATAATTCACCTTGCTCTAGAGAGCCAAATGTATTACAAAAAAACGGAAATGGTAGACGGTCAGAATTTAGTACATTTTTGTGCTAAACGCCAACACATCATGATTTGTGTTTCCTTTTTGAATTACCTATTCAGCATACCAACACGACAACCTCATTTATAATAAAATGATGTCAGTTTTGCTTTAAAGTTTAAAGATTTTTTATATAATTATGTCGCACATAATTTTTTTTTTTGAAAATGGATATTCAATAAGTCGTAATTGTATATATTTCAGGGCTCATTTTTCCTCAGTTTTGTCGATTTCAATGCTCGGAAATATGAGACTCTTATTCGAGTAAGTTTATTTTAAGTTCTTTACTGCTCTTATATTATAATGAAAGTGGTCATGTAAGAAAGAAGACAGGCTTTAAAAAGACTGTGCAACTTAAAGATATTATATTTTGTTGAGTGATACAAATTGATATAGATGGTTTGATTCAGATGTATGTGTGTGTGTTTTTATACTTTTTGCCGTTTAGAATTTCATCGATATATAGCTATCATATTTCTCAATTACAATCCCGATCTTACCCATTAAACATGTAATTCATTCATGCCGTTTTCCAGTTTCATGATATAAGTTTAAAATGTAATAGTAAATCGTCAGCACACTTTACTGTCCTTTTAATTCTCTTAGGCAGTTTTATGATCATGTTTCTTGTTTTGAAGGTTGTCTATTTTCGTTGATATAGTTTAATATGAGTTGTGATGATGTGAGCAATGGGTTTCAACAATCATAGAGTAACACGACGAGTGTCACTTTTGTAGAAAATGATAACCGTTCAGAGCATGCCAGATTACAACCCGTTTTGCGGGACTCGTGATACTCAAGTTATATTGTTTGTGTGGTATTATTTCGACTATTTGGGTTTTTTTTACATTTGTATTTTATCTATGGTGCTGTCTGTCTATGCTTTTATCTCCCCTTGTCATCATCTGTTTAGTTTCTATACTGACCTCGTTTAGTCATACTGGTTTTAGTTATTTTCTTTTGAATTTTGTGGTTTGGTTCATTGTTTGTTGGAAGATATGATTCGGTCATCAACTAAAAAACAACAAAAAGTATTATTCAGAAGGTAACTTTAAGTTTAGTTTTATAATATATCTGCGTAATTTAAAATCTGTTAAATTATCTACAAAAATTAAATATTGACTACTTAGTATTATAATTGATGAATAATACTTTCCTATCATATAGATAAATATATGGTTTAAATGAAATTAAATATATGGTTTAAGTGAAATTAAAAATATGGTTTAAATGAAATATTTCAAATATTATTTATCACATTGAATGCTTCATTTGTAGGTTTGACTCTATTGTCCTGAGGTTGATGGTAAATTGGTTACAGATTGGACTGTTTAGACACTTAACTGTATGTAGTGTTCCAAATGAAAAATACCGTTTATAGATTTGTGCGTTTAAAGCTTTTTGTCCAGATTTATCTTCATCATTTAAAAGGTAGAGATGTAAAAATACGTAGAAACGCAAGGATATGCTCAGGGGTTCAATACAACATTTGGTACTGGAAGGTCCAGGACCTTTAACACTCCAAACTGAAAGGTCCACAACCTAAATCCTAGGTCCTACCTTTACATGAAATATTTTATAACTCAGTAACTAAGATACAAAATTAATGTGCTTTTGGTGTTAGGTTATACTGATCTTGTTTTATCATATTTAAAAAACTGCATGTAATGTTTTGTTAAGTTTACAAATATATTGCCAGGCAACCATATGCATAAAGCACTACACTGTCAGTGTCACTGTGGTATAGCATGTCCATGATAATAAATGTATTTGTCTTGTATATTATGAATTTCAATAATCTTTTTTTTTTGTATTGGGGAGGGTGTCACTGTGGGTGGTTGTTTTGTCTCAATCATTCACAGTTATACCATAATCTCAGGGCTCACACTCTTCAGAATCATAGTGAGAAGTAAGTTCTCTTTTTGAAAATCATAGGGAGAAGTGGTGAGATTTGAAAAGAGGAACGAAAGATACCAGAGGGACAGTCAAACTGATAGATCGAAAACAAACTGACAACGCCATGGCCAAAAATAAAAAAAGACAAACAGACAAATGATAGTACAGATGACACAACATAGAAAACTAAAGACTTAGCAACACGAACCCCTCCAAAAACTGGGGGTGATCTCAGGTGTTCCGGAAGGGTAAGGAGATCCTGCTCCACATGTGGCACCCATCGTGTTGCTTATGTTATTACAAATCCGGTAAATAGTCTAATTCGGTAGGTCACATTCGTGAAAAGGGAATGGTACTGTAGTTACGACATAAGGAACATATCCGATATCATCTTTGAAACGGTTATTCCATAACGGTCAACCAACTCGTGATGCCGTCCGTAAAATTTACGAAGGGAAAATTTCAACTTCACCATTTGGAACTCTTGGTTTAATAGCTTTTTTTGTTAGCAACAATCCTCTATCAAGGAAATCATGATAGGAAATACAAGCCCGGGAATATCGTATCAATTGGGAGATATATACTCCGTATGCAGGCGCTGCGGGAATGTTGCTACATAGAAAGAGGAGTGTTCAAAATTGCTCGCGGCGCTACAATGTTTGGTTTAAACTATAACATAAAGGGTTATATATGTATCTTTCGTTATATTGTTGTTAAATTTATACCGTAACCCGAGTTTACAATTGAAGTAACAGTTCCAATTTAATACTGTTTAAGTTTATCATATCTAGATGCACAATGATTATATTAGTTGTCTTGTTAGAAACTACCAACTAAATATCTAGCACTGATAAAAAAGAACGGTTTTTATACCAAAAACGGAAAAAAAGTTGTTATATCAATTAAAATTCAATTGAAAAACTACTCTGTTATCATGTTTATGAAATTCAGTGTTTCTCATTAAAAAAATATATAAATTTAACAAAATTAAGCTAGGACATAATATAATGATATTAGTAATAGTCCCAGAGTTGAGCAACTTTAATTAATAAATTGAAACAATGCATGTACATGAAAACATATACATTATTCAAGTAGATCAAGTATTAAATGCGCGTGGAAAGCGTTAATTTTTGCTTTTGGGATCAATATTCTTCTGAATAGGTGGACAGGGGGTACCCTTCTCCCACTTCCCGCCCCCTATCTCCCACCTCCCACTTTTAGAATCTTTTTTTCTCCCCCACCTATTTGTTGTCTCTCACCTCCCTCAAAAGCTGTCCACCCTTCTCTTCTGCCAGCTGCGCCATTCATGCGTTCGTAGTCATTGTCGTAAGAATCAGGATTTCGTTCATATTTGGCCCATTTCCGATGAATACTGTACAAATATTTCAATGGCCGACGAGAAAAATTACAAAAATAAACGATGTTTGAGACGCTATTTGGAAGGGAATATGACGTTTTTAATGCAATACATGGATTACAAATTTACTTAAGGCATCTTTCATTACGTTCTAATGAATTAACAAACTCTATTTGCCGACAGTTGGAATGATTTGAAGTAAGCTCTCGAGGGATATACAATAATAATATGGCTTTGAAATGACGATACTGACAGCTAAAAAAGGTCAGCAAAGTTAATTTTTATTTTCTTTCAAATCGAAGGTCCGTCGGGCGTAGCTAGTAACCAAAACGAAAGTCCAATTGCAATAGTGGAAGGTCACGAACCTCGGACCACCGCTAATTTGAACCCCTGGTCTACAAAAAAGGACATAGAAAATAGGCAATTTCATCTAAAGTCAACTTTGCCTAAGGAAATTGGAACCTACGTAATTTAATTTCTGAATTTATCAACGGTGAATTTTAGAATAATAATTTACAAATACTGTCAGTACCAAAGCATTACCTACTAAACATTGACAAAAAATGTATTGAATATTCAATTATCCACTATCAAATATGTAACATATTAATATATTATTGCAGGAATGTATTGTTTTAAGAATATTTATATTTTAAATATATTTAACTCGTGATTATATTATTTATGATTTCAATCAGAAGATCCAAACATGATAATTATAATCATTTCTACGTATATTTCATTAAGTTAAATTTTCAAAATTGAAATCTTAAAACGAAATCCAAAATATTTAACCTCAATTCCTTTTGTCATTTACATATGAATAATCGATTTGAATTACATAATTACAGTCACACAGCAGTATGCAACTGTTTATGTTATACAAAGCAGTACAGACAATTACAGAAATGGGGCCAATTGATGCACTAACTGGTAATTCAAAGAATACCATTGCAGAAGAGAAGCTATTGAAAATGCGGATCGAACATCAAAATCTTGTAAGAAAAATATCAATCAACCCGATAGTAATCCCTTTTTTTTTTATTTAATCCGCCAATGTTATTCGGATCGATCATAAAAGACTGAACACAGATTATTTTTATCAATGTTATGTGTTTCAGACATGTTTTATACGTTTCGGACATTTTAGATGGAATTAAATAACCGGTTTCAGAAAAAATTTGATAATAGAGCATGGTATTCATAGTTTTATGCACCATTAAACGGATTTAAAGCTATACAAACTACTTTTGTCCCAAGTCAGGAGCCTGTAATTCAGTGGTTGTCGTTTGTTGCTGTATATCATATTTGTTTTTCGTTCATTATTTTGTACATAAATCAGGCCATTAGTTTTCTCGTTTGAATTGTTTTACATTTGTCATTTCGGGGCCTTTGATAGTTGACTATGCGGTATGGGTTTTACTCATTGTTGAAGGCCGTACGGTGACCTATAGTTGTTAATGTCTGTGTCATTTGGTCTCTTGAAGAGAGTTGTCTCATTGGCATTCATACCACATCTTCTTATTTTTATATACTGAAGTCATTTGAAATATTATCATTAGTTCAGTTATAGACCGACAATCATTTAAAAAGACAGCAAGGGGCAAACAACAACTCGAAGAAAGAAAAACAACAGCACGAGCAAACAGATGAACAATCAAACTACAGCCAATTAAACACTGCCCAGGAAATTACATGATTGAGCTATACGGCCCTATTCCTCGCTTCCGGGTAAAAAAAACCTTATGAGTTTGAGTGCTTCAGAAGGGTCAAAACTTTCTGTTGTCAAACATCTGAATAAAAACGTTTCATGAACTTTGTAATATGAATTTAAATAAGAGTCGAATGAGGAACGTCAAAAATCGTACTAAGCATGAATAACATAAATAAACGCAAAGGAATTTCTCGTTCATTCATTTAATTTAGTACACAATTACCTAGCCTTTAATAGCCGATTATACTATGGTAAGGGTTTTCTCATTGTTGAATGCCGTATAATTGCTTACATCCACCTCTTTTGCACTTTGGTGGCTATTTGTCTCATTGGCAATCATACCATATCTCCTTATTTAGATATTGTTTAATTAATCTAAAAATATTGAACAGTTATTGAGTTGGATAAACCTTTATGGACTTTTACATTTTTAGTGAATCTGAAAAATCTTTGAAATTCTATTTAAAAGAAAATTCTTTGAAAATTTCTTGAAAATTTTATTTAATAAAACATTTCTTTATAACTTACTTGATTGTTTATGTTCTGAAGCATTGTCTTACTTCCAAAAAAGTAAGACTACATTAATTTTCCAATAAATAATTATCAATAAGCCAAATATTTCCTGTCCAATGAACGAGAATATAATATATGCTTTTAATGAAGGAGAACGGGTTTGGTTCAGCATATCATCATCAGGTGATAATGTATTTGTTTTTTAGACATTACAAATAGATTTGAATGGAAATAGTGACCAGCATTATCCTGTGAAAGTTCTTGACTGTGATACAATATCACAGGTCAAAAAGAAATGGTGTGCGCAGATTTATATAAACAAACCTGCTTCAGAAATACCGCACAATGATGAACTATATTTAGGTACGCAATTCTTATCTCAACTACAAAACATTTATGCATCAAGATTACAAATGTTCTAGGCATTGCAAAAAAAGTTAAATATACTAACAAAACTTTGAATGAACGACAAAGAAAAAATATTATTTTGGTGTTTAGGGATATTGCTCAGCCTCTTTTGATACTTTAATGAGAAATACATCATTTCCGCAAGCAAGTGTAGATTTAACATATACATATCAATGGTTAAAATTTAGTTCACTCATATATGTTGAAAATGTGCATTTCGTCACGGTCCTTTTCCTTTTAAATCCTATCACTTTACATAAATTAAGTATGTTACATTTGAGGCCCCACCGAAATACTCATTGTTTTTTTTTTCTAATAATAGAATGGCAAGAAGGAAGGGCAGGAAAACTTACACTGAATGATATTGACAACACCAGTGAAAAAAACAATGGACTGGTTTGTCTAAATACTTTGAAGCATTATATGGTGAACAACAACAGTAAAATGGCCCTTATGTACAAGCCTCATGTTGAAGAGGATGTCTATGGTAAATAGTTTTATAAATTTATACACTTTCAAACAATTTTTATTTCGTTTGCTTTAAAAAAAAATTCTGTTAAATTTTCCACATGTTCCATTCCTTTACCAATACTCTATTTATTGTTACAGTTGTTATTTTCTAATGTTCAAACAGCTATGTAGTAATGCGTCTTGAAATACTTGTACAAACTTATTGAGACCTCTTCAGACATGATTTTTTTAAAGAGCCTGAAAATTTAGATACGATCCCTTTAAAACATGTAAAACTTTACTTATCCTTTGAATAAATATTCTTCGAAGAAAGATTAGTTTATATATATTTTAGCAAAACTTAAAGGTTATCAATTTAACTTCTCAGTTTCATCTCTGAATATGATCTTTATTAATATAAATATTTATTATGTTCAATAAATTAGAAATAACTACATATGTATTGCTATAAAAGTACAAACACTAATGAGCCTTTATCCGTTTAATACTTGTACTTTATCATTGCACAAGATCATATTTAATCAGGTTGTTAATGACATCTTTACACCAAATCCGTATGATGTGTGCTAATTGTTATTCTAATCTGGGAAAACAGTCTTTAATTATTAGTTGACATTGGCTTCAACAATCTGTCATTACCAGCTAGTACTCTTGTATCGGTACTTTGTTTACTTTAACTTTTTGTAATTTGAATTTTTTGTTGTGCTTCGTGTTGATATAAGCCATCAGACATATGGTATTGTTGAAGGCCTATGTTTTAGTGAGCCTCTAGATGTCTTGTTTTTGGTCTATTTGCATTGGTTGGTTGCTGTTTCAGTGATGTATACCCTACATTTCCTTTTAGTCATACATTTATAGAAGAATCTGTTATTCATATAACTGATCAAAAGAAGATCTTTGAGGTTGTATTCTAGAACTGTATTAAAAGAGACTGAAACTACATCTACAAAGTCACAGGTACGTTTTGTACACACTTATTAATTTTGTGTACATTCAAACAAATTTATTTGACGATAAGACCGATACTGAAAACTTGGAACTTTTGTGGTTTATTTTCGATAATTTCGCAATTAAGATAAAATAGCGAAAATGTTGCTTCAGAGTGCAGAGAACCGTAGAATATAAGATGTAAAAACTATCGAGTTATCAAATATTACACCCTTTCTAACTGAATTTAACATTTAATTCGTATGTTGTGCTATTACATCATTATCCCAGATTAAGGTGAAGGTTCATGTATATGCTACCAGTCTTTAAAAGCCTGTGCAAAATCATGATTCATAAATTGATTGGCTGCTATTGGTTGATGTTCGCCAAATTTGTTTTTCGTTGATTGTTTGGCATGAATTTGGCATGAATCCAACAATTGGTTTTCCCTTTTGAATGTCTCAACCTTTGTCTTGCAGAATTCTTTTTAATCTTTCTATACAGTATGGATTTTGCTCATTGTTGAAGGTCGTATGGTGACCTATAATTTTATACATGCTCCTCAGTAAATTTCGAATATTTTTATTGTATAACTGAATAGCTAAAGACATGTGGCTAACTGCATGTATTATACCAGCTTGAACTGCAGTAAATATATGATTCGAAACATTATGTGCAATTTTATCAAATAATCTAAAATAACAATAAGAATACTGTAACACAGTTGAGTTCTATTTTTTGTATTACTAGTAAATTCGCAAGGACTCCGAACAGAAAGTGTTTCGTCAGAGGATATATCATTATTGGTGGCTGACAGTGGTGAAGGCGAGATGGTAGAAATACAAAAATGGCATTTGGTATATTAACTTCTCCAATTTTTTCAACACAAATCGTTATTCAATTCTATATGTTCATGCCTCCCTCAAGTACATGCAACAAATTTACATTCCGTAAAAAAGTTATTATGTGATCATAAACATATACATGCATTATATATTTGTTTTAAGGATGTTGATATTGCACGATAAGAGAGGCACTTGTTTGAAATGAATTTAAAGGTTCATTAATCATTAATTGAATAATTTTCATATACTAGTAACCTGACATAAATTAGATTGTTGCTTGATTACCGTAAGCATACACATCTTTTTTACTATGCTTAAAGAATATACGTGACTGCGTTGACAGTGTCATAGTAAAGACAATTGACAGGAAGGTATGAAATGCAATTCATTTTTAGTTTAACTCATTTGTTTTTGTTTCGGTATTTTTTTATGATGAATATATATCAGATCCAATATATTTTTTCTAAGGAAACATGTTCGGTAAGTACATTGAAATGCTGCTATATATTTAGTTTTAGAATATATACTATCACTTATGCTTACGAGAGATAGCTTGTACAATATTATATTCATGCACTTAACAATTTACCATTTCTAGATACTTCTAAGAGCATTTAACTTCAAAAACATAATTATATTTAAGTTCTGATTTTATACATTCAGTTATTGAGGTCTATTTTTTTGTTTTTTTGTTTTTTGCTATTTTAAGGGTCGTTTGTTTGCCTTCTCATTAACATATTAACCTAAACTATACAGTATGTTTTTGTTCATTGTTGAAGGTATACGATCTTTAATCACAAACAAGTTATTTGGACTTTAAGGATAGTGGTCTCATTGGCAATCCTGATTTTTATAAATAATTTGATTTACAAAGCAATCAATGAAAAGACAGTTAAAGCTACCTATGAATAATTATTCATAACACTTGACAATGTAATGAACTTAAATGCATAATTAGATCTTTGTTATGATACTTTTAATAAAATGTTTCATTGACTAACTCACGTCGTTTACTTGTGATGTCAACCCTGAGAACCAGTCTAGAAATAAATTGTCGCTATCATTACTTTCAACACACTCTTAGAGCGACGACAGTAATAAAGTAGCAAAAAGTTGAAATTAATTGTGTTATATGTCAAATGTTGTCGAATTAAAATGGTGAATATGCTTAAACAAACCTTTTGTATTTGCATTCACATACCATTTACACGTGCACGCAATGATATTGTCAGATAAATTAATGTTGCATTTTGTTTGAAAGGCTGCTGTTCTTTTATAATACTATCCATTTTACTGCAGACGTTGTTATAGTTTACTTTTTTTTAAATGTTTTAAAATTTATACAGCAGTTTGTGTTTAAATTGGACAATTGCCTCATTATCAAATTGTTGTTTGAAGAACCTACATTGTAAGTTTAATTAATGGGTTACAAATATGATAATGATATATCTGTTTGTAATCAAAATCTGTGTTTTTTTATGTTAATTAATAATAATATGTTTCAGTCGAACATACCAGATGACGTAAAGTCAAATAGAGAAGTTGACTATGGTGACATCTTTTTGAATAGATTATTTCATACAAAGGTAAGACATTTGCAAATTCTTTCGATTTCACAGTACCTAGTAAGCATATCAATTGGAGTTGTTATCAGTCGACTTCATTGAAACGAAAACAAGAGTTTTCGTTATCTTCTTGTTAAATATATTAATTTCGAGTGTAATTTTGTCGGTAAAGGAATGTACACATATCACAAATCCGGCTCACAAGTGCGTTTCTGTTTGCTATGTGGTCATCTAGAAAGTATGAAGATACCAAAGAGGTCTATACACACAAATATATCAATTAAAGAAAGACAACAAATGGAAAAAGGTGAAACAAAGAAACAATTTCAAATAAACACAATAAACACAAAACTAAATATTGCGTAACCTAGTGTTGTGTCAGTATAGTAGCCAGCTCAAGTGATTATTTATAATTGCATTGTCGATTGTACTTTTACGAAAAAGATAATGGAATATATAAATATATCTATCTTCAGCTGCTCCTTGCCGAATACATTGATTCTACTTTTGAGGGATTAATAGACCCGCCTTCACTATCCATTTCAATTCGTTACTTCCTTTGCATGTTAGATAAATTTGGAAAAGACTATAATATTGAGCCAGAAGTACTGGAATCATGGAAAAATGAGTGGTAGGTTTTTTCTTATATTCATTAACACATGTAACAGGAATATTACTATTCAACCTGTGATTTTACATTCAAATGCTAAATGCTTAGAGTTATCTGTTTCAATTTTGTTCTTGCATCTGTACATAAAACCCCTAATGTTGTCTTCAGTTGTTAACTAATTGTATTATATTATCATTTCTACGGTTTCGTCTCTTTCCAGTTAACCATATGTATTGCTTTACTCGTGTGTATCCTCACAGTTACATGATATTGAAATGGTACTTTAACACTTGTTTTAACCTTTACATGAAACTTATAATATGGGAGGGGGCGGATTTACAGTGTTTATAAAAATAAGAAGATAATTGGTATAATTGCAAATGAGAAAACTCTCCACCAGAGACCAACTGACATACATGTAGATGTTAATAATTATAGGTTACCGTATTTATATCAATAATGATTGGTATTGTATACTCACGTGTGTATACTAAATTTCAGTTATGCGACACGAATTTGGGCTCCTTTGATTGGTAAACCAGATATACTGTTTGATGTAAATGTACCTGGTCATGTAGGGTCATGCTTGGACATTTTGAGACAAGTGTTTGTTGAAATGTTTACGCAAACAGCTCATAAAGTGAACAAGGTCAGAATTATGGTATACTCATCGTCAGGTATTGTATTGTTTGAGCGATTTTTTTTTTTTTTTTTTTAGTTTTCAGTAAATAGTTATATTTACATTGTAATCTGAAAAAAAATGGTATATTCTGAGAAGATTTGAACACCATGTTTCTTCATATTTCAATACTATAAAAAGATGAAAAAGTTAGTTTTTTTTTGCAAATTTATTCAGGTAGAATTTCGTTTCTGAATTTCTTATTTAAATGCATATAATAGAAGTAATCAGAATCGATTTGTTTTTCTTCTTTAAATCACCAGGAGTCACCACCACAGAAACTGTTATTCCATAAAGATATACCAAGATACAGAAAACTCATCGGGACATTCTTTAAACGTGTAGAACCAGTCAATGATCAGGATTTTTGGAGTGAAATAGACGAAATATCAAATGTAAATAGTATTAATTCCTTTTATTTCAAATGCAGTAGATTTAAATTTATAATTAAACCTCATCTGCGAAAGGAAGTACGCAAGAATAAAATTGCTTTGTATTTTGAGATGTACCAACATTGTAAATATATAAATTCGTTCATGGAAGTGTCAATATTTGAGTACGTAACTTTAGAATAGTTTAAGAAAATAAAATTCAAAAATTATAAGAATGCATGTACAATTTCTATAAAAATTGATAAGAAAAGGAATCATACTATTACCTACTGAATGTTTTGTGATATTGGGATCGGTTATTTTGTATAAGAGCTGAGTTACCATACTCCTCTTTTTATGAAATATGTATGTGAAAATCTCATAAAAGATATGTAGCATACCATTGTCTTAAATTAAATGAAAACATTTAATTCTAGAGACAGAATGCAACACTGAATTTCAGCAGACAATCAACTTTTCATCAGCTTTATAATTTGTTTATTGGAAAGTACAGCAGTGAAGTAAGCAATCTTAGTTTAACTTTATAAATAGAAATAATGAATCCAAAGTAAGTATATAAAACGGTATACATACGTACAGGATCTCTTGGTGATTTCATGGCAACGTCATAAGAGATGTAGATATGAACTAAGGCTCAGACGTCAGATCTTTGACATGATATCAAACTTTGATCCAACACTGGAATGAATGATTTATTATATATACATGTATCTGTTACTATCATTGTCAATGACAGTGATTTTATTCTTTCTTGTTGAACATGTAAAATTTAATCTTCTATCATATGCATATTTTCTAATATTCTTATTTTCTCTCAAATCCATGCCATGCACTATTTGGCAAAATGTCAAAACATTTTATATTTATGATGATGCAAACTTGTTAGGCATTCATGTAGTGCTGTTTTTTTATTAATATGTATTATGACGTCAGTATATATCACACGTTTTTTGCAAAAGATTCTTAGAAATTCCTTTCAAATTTGATATCAAATTTTTCTGAGGATATTAATAAGACTTTTTCTAAAACTTTATATACTTTTTGTTTTAGATACTTGATGATTTAAAAGACATGGAAGAAAGTAAAGACCTACAATTTGCAAATAAACTCGAAGAAGTCCTAGATTTAATGGAGGAATTTTCAAATGACTCTTAAATGAAGACGTGCTTCAAATGACATAGAAACTGTGAATTAAGGACTTTTTTACAGAGTTATAACTTCTGTTGGTGACACTGAATCTGTGACTTTTGCAACTAAACATTATGAAATTATAGATTTGGTGAAGGAATCATACATTTTTTGTTATATGAATGTACTTTGATTATGAATTTACTTAAAAGCAAAAACCAACGTGTGTAGTAAATGAAGATAATATAAAAAGTTATATTATAAATCTTTATCTAAATACAGTTCGTATTAATTTTCTTTTAATTTTTTTATTCATTTTTAATATTTTTTAACTGTCAGAAACTTTTTTCCTATTATGTAATACATATATATATATCTTGTTTAGAGTCATCAGAAATGATTTATTTGTTATCCTATTTGCATATATGTTTTGCTATTTCGCTTATTATGATACAGATAATTTATTTCTTATTATATCATATAGTTTTTTGACATTTCAGTAATATGTAAACGTTCGTGCGTCTGGCATACAACATTTAAAGCCTGGTATATATGATGAGTTTATTCATTTATCGAGAATTTTGGCTTCTTTTTTGAGAAATCATTATCTACATAGTCTTTTAGTTGGGATGATTAGAAATTGAAACGGACATCAATACAAAGGGTTTTTTTTTTGCACTTCTTCCTGACCAGACTCAAATTAAGTTACACGTGCCCTTACAGTTGTACTTAATTGAAAATTTTTAAATATATTTTTCTTTTGGAAAGGTAAGATTTAGACAATGAAAATAATAATTGTATTTTTTTTTTTTTCTTTTTTTTTCTTTTTTAACAATTCTAAAAAATGAGTTCGTGTCCAAAAGACTGATACATTATATGCCTAATTCTGTCATGATGACTATTTGTAAGTATCTATTTTGATTGTGTTATAACAGACCTAGTATGCTTTGGTACTAAATTTTGAAATGCACATTATACTTTATATTATACTTTGCATTTATGTATTGCGACAATATACATGCGTTATCCATACTACAATATAAAATTTTCGTCAAATTATCTCAGAAAATAATAAAGCTGTTTTGCTTTCTGTAAACTTGTCATTACAGAAAACTGAACTAAAGGGCTATATTTCCCCGATTAATCTTGACTACTGTTGTAAAATTATTCGAGATCTACACGTTTATGTGCGTTATGACAATATAAAGTTTAAATAGATTCAAAATGCCCCGTGAAGATCCATAGCTAGCTGCCAGATACTTACTCTGAGACTCAACACGTTGTCGTCAGTTTCTTTAAACTGCCCTTGTTTTTTAGCAGTAGCGTTCTCGTGTATAGTGCGTGTGGTCGTGAGTTTGATCATTAGAAGGGTTATAGCGTACTTCTTTGTATCGATCTGACGAGTTAAGCCCTTTTCAACTGATCTTTATAGTTTGTTCTTATGTTGTACTGTTTCACCACTGTCCCATGTTAGAGGGTTGGCGCGCCTTCAAACTAGTTTAACCCCGTCACATTCTGTATGTGCTTGTCCCAAGTCAGGGGCCTGTACTTCAGTGATTGTCGTTTGTTGCTGTATAACATACATGTATTTGTTTTACGTACATTATTTTGTACATAAATCAGGCCGTTACTTTTCTCGTTTGAATTGTTTTACATTTGTCATTTTGGGGCCTTAATAGCTGACTATGCGGCAAGGGTTTTACTCATTGGTGAAGGCCGTACGTTGACCTGTAGTTGTTAATTTCTGTGTCATTTGGTCTCTTGTGGAGAGTTGTCTCATTGGCAATCATACTACATCTTCTTTTTTTTTATTACTAGACATTTGTAGTTGTTTTGGCAAACATGTGGTGTTAAAGAGCAAGAGTAACTGGCCTTTGTTAGTCTTGTATGTTTTTTAATTTTAGTTCATTTATATGTTTTGGAGTTTAGTGTGACGTCCTTTTTCACTGAACTAGCACACAATTTTATTTGAGGACCACCTCCGGGTGCGGGATTTTCTCGCTGCATTGAAGACCCATTGGTAGCCTTCGGCTGTTGTCTGCTCATTGGTCGGGTTGTTGTCTCTTTGGCATATTCCCCATTTCCATTTTCAATTTTATGTCCACTGAAATATTGAGGAAATAGAAAATTCCTCAGTCTAATATAAAAAAGAAGATGTGGCAGGCATAAACATGTTTGCGGTCGCCCAAATCTTCCTTAAACTGGTAGAGTGATGTAACAGCATAACATAAGAAAACTATAAACATCTGTTGGAAAAGGCCTGACTCATTAGATCGACACAAATCACAAAATCAACTTATTAACATCCTAATGATATCAAGTACCGATATAAAAGTACTCGTTATTACTGAAATCTAGCTCAAAGCCAATCACAACTAATAAATAAATCATGTTTTCCAGAAATAAATATTAATCAGTACACATCCAAGAATTTAGTGTAAAGACTTCATAAACAGTTTGAGAAAAACTAACTTTGTGCAATGCCAAAGTATGAATATCGACATGATATATGACCATAAGTATTTATAACTATATAGCAATTTAGTACTGTTTTAATTTATAAATAACACAACCGTATCAATGGGCGTGATAAACTAACTAATATGTCCAACTTTTTATCCGTAACAATCTAGACACAATGTCAATAGTTCTAACAGCAATACCAAGACCAAATATTAAGATGTTATAAAATGGAACCACCTGAATGAAGTTTCCGAATTTTATACGGGACAAGAACATTAAACTGGGTTAAAAACGTTTATATGGAAAGCCTCATCTGTCATATATTTGAGATTTACAAAACGGTATGCTGAAGCTTAAAATGTAAAGTTAAGACCGCGTGATGTTGAATTGAGTCATCAAAATGCTAACTCTAAATTACAATATGCTAAGTTGAATCTGCGCAATGACTTGCAATGACAAGTGCTTTAGTCGTGATAGTATAATGATAAGTCACGATGTTGTGATGATATGCCAAACACACGTAACGTTGGGTTTAAAGTACATCATGTGAAGTTGACGTTGCATGATGTTAGTTGCATATGGATACTGCTCAGTCATCCACTTCGATAGCTATGATAACAAATAAAATGAATCGCTAAAATGTATGGTGCTGACTTGTTATTTATAAATGTTGAGCTGAGATAGTACGATGTTATATCATTGTGATATTACGATAGGTCTATCATGCAACCTGTTGATTTAAAACACCTTACAAACCTGCTCGTGCATTTTTCATTGTTATTCAACGCAAAATAATTATCTAAGATACCTGTGACGATCTCATTTCACAAAGGATTTCTATTGTCTCCTTATTGTACCTCGAACTTAAATACCCGGTGTAGGTCTTTAAGTTGTGGTTCAATTTACTAAAAGTTAATAGGGCATGACTAATTAGATACGCCCTCTTAAAATCAGGGGGTCCGAAATAGGATCGGGAAATAACACCCAGCAAAATACCATAATTTACATTTTAGAAAATTTTTGATTCAAAGTGCTTTTGGTTGCTTTAATATCTCCATTCAATAATCAATCGGTGGAAATACTAACCTGTCCCGAACCGAGAGATGTTGGCTGCAATAGTAATTTATTTACATAAAAAAGTCCATATCTCATTTATTTATAGTGGCCGTTATTGTTTGTTAATTCATGACGTTTTGTTTTTTGGCATTCGTCTACCGTGTAGAAAAAAGAGAGAAGGAGGGCTAATAGCTTAGCTTACGACTTCGATCATGATTCAACTGTATTCTATTACGGCATACGTTTTACTTCTAGCGAACGCTCTGCCTTATTGTAAAAAGTGCCACTTTAAAATTGTAATCATTTGCCTCATGTTGATCCACTTTGCATCTCGTCGTAAAAATGCATGACAATTTTGCCACTGGACATAAAAGAAGCAATTAATTTATCAGCTTCATTTAGTGACGTATAATCATTTGGTTTCAGTAAACAATCGTCACCAAAGGGCGACTGGGGACCGGCAGTAAAACGCTTGCCAAAGTGGGGCGTCCATTTTGCTGTGCGGGATGTATCAAGTTTGCAACCATGTCCGGTCAGATTGGGGACGTTAAATCCGATGCCTCGTGTACAGAAAGTGCCACGCTCTTTGCACGTTAAGAACCCTTGCAACAACTCTTTGAGGGGTCCGTAGATGGCCTGTTGCAAGGCAAAATTTCTGTCCCTATCCAATATATCCTCATTGTCCATTGGCAGTCCAAATTTCCCCGACCATTATCCCAGATGGCCTCTATTATTACAAAACCTACCTATTGTATTTATTGTTTACTTGTTTTCGTCCTGAAAATTCATGAAATATTTGCCACCGGACGTTAATAAGCAACCAACAATCAATAAATCAATAAATAATCGTCTCAAACAGTTTTCCAATTTTTAAATTTCATTTTTATTGAAGTATGAATTCTTCCATCATTTTTCTCTTTGCATTTAATCTTTTTTTTAAACATTACAAAAACGTCGTCGTGGTATACATCAGGGTTTACATTGTATCCTTTAGCAAAACCATAGGCGGATCCAGGAGGGCCCGGGCCCCCCTTTTCGTGGGAAAAATTTGGTTGATTATATAGGAAATCACTGAAGCATGACTGGAGCGGGCCCCCCTTAGGTCAGTCAGCGCCCCCCCTCCCCTCCCCCCCCCCCCCCCTTATGAAAAGTTCTGGATCCGCCACTGAAAACTAATAGTAGAGGGGATAAGAACAGAAAAAAAAAACGATTTTCATTGAGTGCCAATAACTCATATATTGAAGCGAACAATGACGGCTGTCTCGTCTACGTGTCAACATTTGCTGTTTCAAGTTTGTTTATATCTCAGACTGGTATAATAATTGACATAAAAGCAAAAATGGATTAAAAATGTTGACAACAATTCATTAAAGGATTCAACTTATTTTGGGCGTTGCATTTATTTATTTTTTAGATATTGTTTTGCTAATCGGTTTCGTTATATTTTTTTTTTCATCTACAATTGTCCTAGCAAAAGTCGCAAAAATGTGTTAAAATCAGCCATGCGACTTATTTGAAAAGATTTAGCTAACCTTTCTTGTTGATTACACATTTCGATCATTCAACTCGTGCGCAGATCGTTTTCCCCCCTAATGTTTTTTAACGTATAGATAGCGTGAATTTCTCACTACACCAGGAATCGGATATACATTCCTATTTCGATGGGACAAAACTGCGTATTTATATATCCGATAAGCCAAACGAACGCACCCATTCAGCAAGGGTATACTGTAAAAGCCGTTTTCCTCAGGCTTTTAGTAATAAAAGGAATAACTGCAATCTAGGGTTCTGTAACTTTTATTCAGACGAAACGAAGTAACTATATGAATATGTAAATACAGCCCTGTAAAATATAAATGTACTTATAAGTTACAGATAGATAAATCTGTTTACTAAGTAATAATTAAAACTAATGTTCTTATTTCATTATCATGCAAACTTATTTAGCTGAATACTTATGTATCTAGTCACAAAAATATATACTGTGGATACAATAGCCATTACTTGTCTCAATTACAGTTATACCAATTAGACTTTTAGATATTATATTACATGTTCTCATATGCTGTCTCATACCAATGTCTATTATAAATATTACTTGTGTTGGTAACATAAACTACACAAAAACGTAAGCTGCGTGCTTGGTTAAATCAAAAAGCAAATAAGCACAAAAAGTAACAATATAGCAAAGCAAATATTAAAAACTAAAGCTAAGCGAATCAAGAATACAAATACACTTAGCTTACCTCACATATCGTGCAAGTGGCACATTTCCATATAAACCATTATATAAACAAACACTACATCTTTGGTAAGGTTTAAATATACCTGTATAAGAAAAATGATTATAATAAATATCTGTTAAGCATTATTTATTGTTTATAGTACAAACTCATGTTTACTATAAAAATCAATATTAAATCTAGATAAAATTGAGAATGGAAATGGGGAATGTGTCAAAGAGACAACAACTCGACCATAGAGCAGACAACAACCGAAGGCCACCAATGGATCTTCAAGCTCTAAGATATATTTACTTTAATTCGATTAACCTTTAAAAATTACAGCATTCATACCGGGCAGCTCGATACGTGCATTCATTCAATTTTATACGTAAAGATTTATCTTCAAATTTATTATACCAGATTTAAATAGGTTAATGAAGTATTATTATATCTGATCTTAAAATTCTACCCTTCTTATGTTTTAAATACATTTACGATCTCTTTTGTTATAAAATTTAACACTCGTTCTCGACATTCAATCTAAACATGCATACGTGTAAAAATGTGAACTATTGGACAGTTATTGCAAAATTAATAAAGAAAAAGACTGGCCTTATATAAGAAACTTTCCAATCACAGAATTATTATTTAGGATATTAATTTCTTTAAGTTGTTAAATTGCAGACAGGTAAATATATAGGTGTTGACCACAAGATGTCTTCCCATAAGATCTAGAACAAAGGAATAAAACCGCCAAAAGTACTTACCAATAGAAGAAATGTACGATAGCGCTCAAATCAACCGTGAAAATAAAGTACTAACTACAGTGAAATCAGACTTAACCAAAACATGAGATGAGAATTCGTCCGTCAATAGTCTATGTCACCAAGTTCAAATAGAATAATACACAATGCTAATCCTTAATTACAAAATGTAATTAATAAGCTAACAATATAACTTTATTCAAATATATATTAATATCAAGTACTAAGAATATAAAAATATACAAAATACATAAATAACAGGCTATCACATACTCACCCCAGCAGTGAAATGACGTCCCGTCATTTCCTGTGTGTGGTTGCTGTTGAAATGATATCAATAATGGCCTGTGCTGCTTCTGCCTGTTTTCCATGAAAACAGATGAGGGTCTGCCAAAGATGAAAGGAATTGAACCCTCTGAAACCAATCTGCAGTGGTGGTATGACTTGCACTCTTAGAAAGCTCATATTTTCCTGACGTCATCCAAGCAGGTGCTTTCTTTGTTCTGGTTGACCGACGAATACTCACAGGTGACGATGATTACGATGATGACGAACTGTCAGAAATATCCTCTTGATTGTCACTGGTCACCTCTTGTGAAGGCCTTCTGTCGCTGATATCTGAATCTGTCCCAATGGTGTCATGAGAGTGGGCGTCCCCTTCAGATTCAGAATCATCTTTTGTATCCACGTTGCTTGTTGGAATAACAACTGGCTGAGGAATATCTGAAGTGATGGTTGAATCACTGTCATCCTCAACTAATGGTTCCAATAGCACATCTATAATATCCTCATCATCAGATGATTCCGAATAATTGGCTGTCGGTTTCTTGCATATTCTAGGTGCAGGTTTCGGTGGTTAGTCCTTGGTTCGTTTTCTTGGTTTAGGTACTGGCTTAGTTGGTTCTACAAGGTGACCCACTGGCAACAGCAAGTTTCTATGGAGGTTCCTCTTACGTCCTTCTCCATTCTCCTTTCTCACTGTGAAGACTGGTATGTCCAGATTCGGTTGTTCAAGTACAACATACGGATTCTGCTCCCACTTTTCTGATAATTTGTGTTTGCCTTCAAATGTAACTATCTTCATCAGGACTAAATCTCCCTTTACTCTGGTGTCATAGTTCTTCTTTTGTTTCAGTTGTGCTTTTTTCGACGCTTCAGTAGCTAAGTTGTGCGCAAATTCCAACCGTTCTCTAAGGTCGTTGATGTAATTGGATCCTGTCTCTTTTCGTATACCAAATGCTACATCCACTGGAAGTCTGGGATCTCTTCCAAACATAAGGTAATATAGTGCAAATCCAGTAGACTCATGCTTGGTACAGTTGTATGCGTGGACAAGTGGTCCTACATAAGCTTTCCAGTTCTTCTTCTTGTCTGGTTGAAGTGTCCCCAGCATGTTAAGTAGAGTTCGGTTGAACCTTTCGCACATCCCGTTCCCCATCGGATGATAACTGGTGGTACGTGACTTGGTCATCCCTGTCATACTGCACAACTCCTTTATGATCTTGGATTCGAAGTAAGCCCCTTGGTCTGAATGTATCCGGTCGGGTATTCCATAATGCACTATGAAATGTTGATAGAAGGCTTCAGCTTTTGTTTTTGCTGTTTGGTTCTTGGTGGGAATGGCTTGAGTAAATCTGGTGAAGTGATCTGTTATGACCAGGATGTGTTGTTGACCTCCTTTGGATGGCTCTTAAGTAAGGTAGTTCATACACACTAGCTTTAGTGGTGTTGTTGTCTCAATACTGACTTGTGGAGCTCTCTGGTTTGGAAGTGTCTTTCTTCAAATGCACCTTCCACAATGTGCTATCCTTTCTTCAACATCCTTGGCTATACCAGGCCAGTAAAATCTGTCTCTCAATAATGACAATGTACGGTCTTTGCCAGGGTGTCCCATGTCGTTGTGCAGTGCCTAAAGTGATGTAGAAACATGTGCTGCTGGAAGTACTAGCTGTTGTTTAACTTCATCGTTGATAGTAACCTGTCGATATAATACGCATCTATGATCTTCAGATGATGGAACTGCCTCTTAAGTATGGCGTCGCCTTTCTCTGGTTTCTGTTGTTTCTGTATCATATCAATCCAGTGACTAACAACTGTTTCTTGTCTTTGGGCTCTCTTCCAGTCTAAGATATCTGATGTAGATGTTCCATTCAGATTGTTGTCATCTTGCAGTACATCTGGATTGACTGCTAAACATTCTGCATAAGGTACTGATGTTATTGAATTACAGATGGCTCTTATGGTATCGGTGTTGATCTCTATTATGTCCTTGGGAAGTCTGCTTAAAGCGTCAGCATCAGAATTGTTTCTCCCTAGACTTGATGTCAAAGTTATAGGTTGCAAGATCGGCTAACCATCTGTGTCCTGTGGCATCCAGTTTGGCAGTAGTGAGGACATACGTCAAAGGATTGTTGTCAGTCATCACTGTAAAATGCGCTGGTCCATACAGGTAATCCTTAAACTTGTCTGTAATTGCCCACTTCAAAGCCAGGAACTCCATCTTGTGAGCCGGATAATTCTTCTCGGCTTTGGTTAGCCCTCTACTGGCATAACAGATGACGTGTTTCTCTCCATGTTGTTCCTGGTAAAGTACAGCACCAAGTCCAAAAACAGACGCATCTGTGTGAAGTTCGTACTGCAAACTGTTGTCAGGGTAACTTAATACCGGAGCTGATGTTAGCAGTTCTTTCAGTTTCCTGAATGCTTGGTCCTGTTGTTCTCCCCAATGCCATTCCTTCTGTGGTTGTTTCTTCTTCTTCTGTCCTTTCCTACCTGATGTAATTGGCATCAATTCTGTCAATGGTCTGCTGATCTGACTGAAGTTCTTAATGAAGCGTCTGTAGTATCCAGCTAATCCCAAAAAACGTCGAACATCTTCAGGTGATGTTGGTGTAGGCCAAGCCATGACTTTCTCGGTCTTTTCTGGATCCACTTCCACTCCATCCGCTGAAACATTGTGTCCAAGGAACTTTACTTTGCGTTGGAAGAAAGAACACTTCTTGGGTGCCAGCTTCAGGTTCGCCTTTCTTATGCGGTCCATTACCAGTTGCAAGTTGTTAAGATGTTACTCGTATGTCTTCCCAAAGATAATCACATCATCAATGAACACACAGCATATTCTAAGGTGGTAATCAGCTAGACAGTCTTCCATGAGTCTTTGGTAGGTGGCGGGACTGTTGGTGAGTCCAAATGGCATTCTGTTGTACTCATAGAAGCCTAGAGGTCCTACTGTCAATGCAGTCCTTTCCTTTTGTGGTTCGCACAGCTCCACCTGATGATACCCGGACTTCATATCAACAACACTGAAAAGGGTACTTCCGGAGAGACAATCAAGCAGGTCTTCAATCCTCGGCAAACTATAACTATCTTTTTTCGTCCTATTCTTGAGCTGACGATAATCAACACACAGGCGTAGACTGTTGTCCTTCTTTCTGGCGAGAACTACATTGGAGGCAAATGGACTCTTTGATGGACTAATGATCCCTGCATGTGTCAGTTGTCGAAGATGATCTCTAACTTCTTCATATGCTGATGGAGGAATTCTTCTGTATCGTTGCTTAAAAGGTCTTTCATCTGTCATATCGATGCGATGTTTCACAATATCTGTACGACCTACGTCCTCATCAGTCTTGGAGAAGATGTCCATGTACGAGCGTAGAAGTTGAACTCCTGCATCTAGTTGTTCATCTGTTAATGTGCTCTGTGTAATCTTTATCTTCTCCATGATGTTAGTAATTTCCTTTTCAGATGGTAAACTTGGTGAAGGTTCTAGTTGGACTGGTTGTAATTCACATACTATTGCCTTCGGTGGTATACTCAATGTTCTTGTTGTCAAATTCTCTATGGTAACAGTAACTGTTCCGTTCTGTTGATGTAGGTATGTAATCAAAGATGGTTCAACATCAAAGTCTTCCGAATCTTTGGCTAAGTTGCAAGGATGGAGCATAGCTGGTGTAGTATGGTATGGAACTTCCTTGTCAACATATCCAGATAATGTGATGGTAGTGTTCGGTGGTACAATGATCTTTTGAACTTCTGCATTATTTATAAGACCTAAGATGTTGTTGTGTTTTATTTAGTTACATTTTTTTGTAGTAGTATACATCTGAATGTGAGATACCAGGATGTAGTCAGCTAACTAGTCTGTAAAAATCTTTCTCGAAAGTCCTTCCTGAGAGATTCCATAAAGTATGTCAGAGTGTTGGTTTCTAGTAATAATGGTACTTGCTGATTGTATCGACTGTCTGGTGTAACTAACAGGATAGATTAGGGTATCTGTTTATATCCTGGTATTTGTAGATCTGCTTCTACGTAGCCTAAGTATGGTAGTTTCTGGCCATCAGCATATTCAATATCTAATAGTGTTGTTATGTTGTTCAATGGTGTTGTTAAATGTTCCCTGTAAAAAGATTCGCTGATAGTTGAGACGGTGGAACCAGTATCAAGAAGTGCAGGTGTTTCTAAGCCTTCAATACAAATTCAATATGGATGCTCCCCCTTCATAGACTTCTTGCCGTTTAAATTCTTCCTGCTCTTACAGCACAACCTCTTTTATAATGCCCAGTTTGTCCACATCTCCAACTCTGAGGTTCATCATGTGTCTGTTGGTGTCCTTGTCCTCTACCAAATCCTCTACATCTCTGTTGTTGCCATCCTGGTTGCCAGTGTTGTTGCCAAGGCTTTGGTTGCCAGGTAGGTTGTTGCCATGTGGATGGTTGTTGTTGCCAGGGAGGTTCTTGTTGGTACAATTTATTTTCATAACTGTCCATTCTAGTTGTCATCTGCTGTATCATTCCTTTGATATCCTCGACATCAGATTGTTCAATTGCAGCTTTACTGGTTTGTGGCTTGAAAGACTTGCTTAATACTTCTCAGTGCAAGTGATCATTCTCAATCTGGTGAAATGCAACTCTCAGTGAATCAAATTCCTTGATGGTGTCATACTTGTGTCCTGCGATGTCCTTGAGTGATGTTCTCAGACCAGTCCACAACATGGAGTGAAGCATACCATCTACATCCTGTCTTCCAACAATTCCTCTCTCTTCTGCCTGTCCCATGAGTGATTCTAGACGGCAACTCCAGCTTGTGACAGTTTCATCTTCTTTTTGGCGTGATCCATAAAACTCTGCCAAAAGTTCTTCATTCTTGTCGACATTCCCATAAATAGAGTCTAGCTTATCAATGACTTCCTCAACTGATGCATCTAAATCTAGTCGCATGACTGCATATCCAGCTTCCCCTCTTAGTGACCTTCGAACAGCATTCAAGATGGCTTCCTTCTCATATGACTGTTTCATCAGCAATTTTACTTCCTGCTTCCATAACTCATAGGTGGTGTCCCCTGACTTAGGTTCATTTCCAGAAAAGTTGGAAATCCTTGGTGGGTGTGTCATTACTACTTTGTTGGATTTTTCCTTTGGTGGTGCCTTAGGTGGAGATGTTAATACCAGCTCTGAATTAACCTGTTCTAACTTGATGGCTCCAGTAGATTTTAGGTAGTCTATCATCCATTTAGTTAGGTCCTCAGGTGTATCAGCCTTTGGTTTGACTCCTGTCTTGGCAAATGCTTCCATGATCTCATGTAGTGCAGGTGTTGGATTCTCAACTAATGGAGTAGTAGGTTGTTTAATAGGGACCTCCTCGGTTCCTCCCTTCTTGGCCATATCAGTGTGTATGTGTATACCAAATATAAAAAAAAATCTATATACCAAATATCAAAAAGATCTAATCTCAATCCCAGTGTATCAAAATATACTATATATATATACAATTTATCAAATGTACCTACCAAATAATAATATAAATAATCTGCTTCTACCTACAAAAGTGTGTAATAGATATGTGAATCTTTTACGTTCACAATCTAAAACTATGAAACAACAATACTTACTATGTTACTCTGAATATCAAATCAAATTGTCAATGTAAGTCTAAGTCTCAAATGTCAACTTAAATCAGAATCAAAATCCTAAGAACTATCCTATCCTGAAAACAATACAGTCAAGAGAATCAGGAAAAAAAATCAGAAGTTGAAATGGATGTATGTGTATTAAATGCAATAGTTAAGGTTTAGGAGTATGGATAGGTGGTGCAGTTGTTAAAGGACTACCTGTTATAAAGGAACATGCAACTTAACACTCAAAAAAGTTTAACTACTATGCGTACACATTTTAACTTTAATATATTAAGTTACTATTTAAATGTTTAACTTGTATGATAAATTTATCTGATGTTTCTAAATTTAAATTGAAAATTAAAATTTAAATTTTAAATCAAATCTGAAATTTTAAATTCACAAACAAATATACACAATCAACACAATACAATGTACAGTATACAACACTAATACATGTAAACAACTATATACTACATAGGACTATGCACAATCAACATAAAACACAAATGACACAATGATAATAAACAAAGTCACACACAAAAAATATCATATACACACGACAACAAAAAATTCACAAAATCTGTCTGAATTTATTTTTGTTAATATTAATCAATATCTAAGAACCCTATGTATGTATGTATGTGTGTTAAACAAAGTTGGACTTTATTCACTTATCAAAGTGGATGCGTAAATTAACAAAGTCTGGTTTTGCTTTAATGTGACATAAATATTTCAAACACAATCAATGTGTATAATATTCAATGCAAAATACCAATTCTAAATGTATGTCACTCTCTGTGTATAAATAAATGTGTTTGTTTACATGTGGTGTATGCTAGACAGCTTTATCAAGTGTACTTCCGGTTGACCTTGACCTTATACCTATAAGTATGGTCTTTTTTATGGGGGGGGGGGGGGGGGTCAAGTATCAACAAAGTACAAAGTCTCAAAGTAAATGTCTAAATATGAATTAAATCTCAATACCAGACACTGTATTCAATCGAGTTTTATGTTAACTCAGTGTCAGTAATGCTAACGTTTTTCGGTGTGTAATGTTTACAAAATAAAAATTGGACAAATTTTTCAAACACCAATTTCACTTATTTTAAAGTCTCTACATACGATAAATGCTACACAACTAGATTTATACAATGTATATTATCAGGCAATTAATTATAAGTATATATGAACTGACTATAAAACTAATATGTTCAATAAATCCAGCAATAATGTTTGTTGATCAAGATGAATCTAAAAATGTGTTCTTCGTCGTCCTAGTTCATGAACCGGTTATGTTGATATACGTCACTGATCAGTTTCCGGTATTGCGTATGTAATTTTTCCGTATGGATTCACTGTCGTTGTCAGTTCAGAATATATTCTTGGTTTCTACTTCGTCGCTGATTAAAGCTTCCTAACTACGTTGGGCGCCAATGTAAAAGTCGGTTTTCCTCAGGCTTTTAGTAATAAAAGAAATAACTGCAATCTAGGGTTCTGTAACTTTTATTCAGACGAAACGAAGTAACTATATGAATATGTAAATACAGCCCTGTAAAATATAAATGTACTTATAAGTTACAGATAGACAAAATTAAAACTAATGTTCGTAATTCATTATCATGCAAACTTATTTAGCTGTATACTTATGTATCTAGTCACAAACATATATACTGTGGATACAATAGCCATTACTTGTCGCAATTACAGTTATTCCAATTAGACTTAGATATTATATTACATGTTCTCATATGCTGTCTCATACCAATGTCTATTATAAATATTACTTGTGTTGGTAACATAAACTACACAGAAACGTAAACTGTGTGGTTGGTTAAATCAAAAAGCAAATAAGCACAAAAAGTAACAATATAGCAAAGCAAAAATTAAAAACTAAAGCTAAGCGAATCAAGAATACAAATACACTTAGCTTACCTCACATATCGTGCAAGTGGCACATTTCCATATAAACCATTATATAAACAAACACTACATCTTTGGAAAGGTTTAAATATACCTGTATAAGAAAAATGATTATTATAAATCTCTGTTAAGCATTATTTATTGTTTATAGTACAAACTCATGTTTACTATAAAAATCAATATTAAACCTAGATAAAATTGAGAAAGGAAATGGGGAATGTGTCAAAGAGACAACAACCCGACCATAGAGCAGACAACAGCCGAAGGCCATCAATGGGTCTTCAAGCTCTAAAATATATTTACTTTAATTCGATTAACCTTTAAAAAATACGGCATTCATACCGGGCAGCTCGATACGTGCATTCATTCAATTTTATACGTAAAGTTTTATCTTCAAATTATAATACCAGATTTAAATAGGTTACTCGGGTTGTTGTCTCTTTGACACATTCCCCATTTCCATTCTCAATTTTAATGAAGTATTATTATATCTGATCGTAAAATTCTACCCTTCTTATGTTTTAAATACATTTACGATCTCTTTTGTTATAAAATTTAACACTCGTTCTCGACATTCAATCTAAACATGCATACGTGTAAAAATGTGAACTATTGGACAGTTATTGCAAAATTAATAAAGAAAAAGATTGACCTTATATAAGAAACTTTCCAATCACAGAATTGTTATTTAAGATATTAATTTCTTTAAGTTGTTAAATTGCAGACAGGTAAATATATAGGTGTTGACCACAAGATGTCTTCCCATAAGATCAAGAACAAAGGAATTAAACCGCCAAAAGTACTGACCAATAGAAGAAATGTACGATAGCGCTCAAATCAACCGTGAAAATAAAGTACTAACTACAGTGAAATCAGACTTAACCAAAACATGAGATGAGAATTCGTCCGTCAATAGTCTATGTCACCAAGTTCAAATAGAATAATACACAATGCTAATCCTTAATTACAAAATTTAATTAATAAGCTAACAATATAACTTTATTCAAATATATATTAATATCAAGTACTAAGAATATAAAAATATACAAATACATAAAATAACAGGCTATCACAATACTGTGGGACGGGAGAGGTCTCGAGATGTCAATATTTCTGTACCCAAGTGAATCATTTGATTTTGAATAAAAGGTGATAAAGATATACTGTACATTAATGCGAGAGCAACACAAATACACAGACATATCAAAACATTTATAGTCAACTTTCAGTCTTTTTTTTATATTAATAATCTATCTTTAAAATTTTATTCTACGCTAGTACCATAAGTACTATCCTGAACTTATTTCACAAATACTGAAAACCTCTTTTTCACCCGTAGTGATAAAAGGGTTGCGTTGTTTTTTATTTGAAATATTAATTGACCAATTTATTATTTTGTATTCTATATTATGTTGCTCTTGTTGCACACAATGGTGCCTGAGTGTATTAATAAACTTGTAGATAGAAAGATCCGTATACAGAAAAATAATCAGTGAAAACCGCCTAATGACTTAATAATAGTTATACGGAGTTAACTCAATAATAATTACCGTCAAATATTATATATCCCAAAAGTCACATTTGATTTAATACTATTTACCGTCAAAGATATCCCAACAATCACTAGTCTCTGGTTGAAAAATTTCACCTGCCCTATTTTAATTTTGATCGGTGAAAATTTAAGAAGTTGTAATATAAACCAGTAAAAGAAAAACACTTCACTGTATAATAAAACGGTGAAATAAATGATGAGAATGAATGACGACCAGCGGCAAATAAAAAGAATATTCAGGACGATAACATGTAAATACAATACGAGTATTAACCCCGCCTTTTACTAGACTGACACGCTGAGTCGGTCTTTTTACACGTAAGTTCCCAAGATATTAGTTCGTAGGAAGAAAAGTCACCCGACCCAGACACATTTCCGACTCTGAGCCGACCAACCTGTGCTCCTACTCTATGATGTCACGTGTTAAGCGTTGAAATAACCAATATTAATTTAACGTCTTTGTTTGGACCGGTCGGGATTCGAACAAACGACCTCCCGCTCTCGAGGAGAACACCTTCACATGAGACCAACCAGTAGAGCGGTAGTACATAATATACCAAAACCACAAGTACAATAAACAATACAGTTTCACAGACTTCTCACAGTTACTAAAGCGAGCTAAAAGTATCTAACCTAAATTAAATGTGGGAAATGATATTGTAAACTACACGTAAACATCGATGATCGACTTTAGTGTAGATTTCAGGGATCAACGCTCTCGGCAAATTAAAAACTCTTGCACAAATTATTTGAGGGGTCCGAATGTGGCCAGCTGTTGCAAGTCTAAATTTCTGTCCTCATTCAATATACCCTCATTTTCCAGTGGTATTTTAAAGTTTCACGTCCAACCTCACTGTCGACTTCCTATTGCACGACCTACCTATTGAGTATTGTATATAAAGACTTTATGTGTTATAGTCATGAGGATGCATGAAATTTTTGCCACTGGACGTAAAGCAAACAACAATCAATCAACTTCATAAATTGTTCCATGTACTTAGCACTCAAAGACAAGATCTTGTAAATTGCTATAATGTACTATTTCCATTTAAATTTTTATGTTTTTTTTGTGGTTTTTTTTCCTTCATTTTATTACATAACTGACTGCTTATAAAAAAAGTTTTAAATATTTTTTTACTATGGTTCTTATCTACTGTTTTAATACGATTTATAACAAGATGTTTTGTCAGGCAAGGATAAAACTAAGAAAGGTAAAAGTTTTTTCAGGTGTTTTGCTTCAGTTGAACATAAAATGGGAATAACGGACTAAAATAAAAGAGTTTGTTTTCATATAATACATCGAACTTACGAATATATGTCACCTTAACACGTTTTGATCGCGTCAGTGAAACCTAGTTGATGCTATAGATGTCACATTTATGCTTTTTAATACGATTTTATTCATTGAAGTTAGCATGCATAGTTTTTATTTAAAAAAACAAACAAAGCAAGATCTATTAATTAATTGGACTGAACAGACAACACTTATTATTTTGCATTCACATGTAACGTAGTGTAGGAAAATTACAGAATCAAAAAGGAATGAACATTTACCGGATGAATATTGTGAAGGACCTTATGCATCTAGGTCTGTTCGATTAAAAGTTCTGAAGCAAGCTGTTTAAAAAGCTAATAGATGGAAGAATTTACTTACTGTTCTTAGGTCTGGTCTGTTTCATGATTACTGACAGATTAAAAACATGAAATATATATCATGTATATATAACAAGAAGTTGTTGCGCAGAATATTCATTGGTCAATTATAAATGAGGTATGTATAGGGTTTTGAATGCCTCATTTATTAAATAAGAAATCGTTATTTTGAAAAGTTGGATTCAAAAATATAAATTTACCCTCTAATTTTGTAAAACTATCATTTGGTGTTATTTTTATGCTAAGCAAAATATAATAAATGAATAATTGAATGATGTACTGCCATTTAATCGGTCCGTTTCCGTTGCAATTTGGTAATTGTTAATTGTATATATCAGTCTGAGAACTGTTTAACTATCATTTTAGGTGAACATATTGAGACTCGTCCAATTTAGGGGAATTAGGTTTCTGCGAGTGCTTTTTGTGTACTTTTCTTATGTTTTTGACGGTTTTCAAGTCAGTAAAAGTTCAATGATTAAGTTAATATTGACATTAAAAGACCTCCTCACAAAAAGGGCTGTTCAAATCAATTTTTTTTTTATGAAAAGGAGCCTATTGTAAGCTCGTTCATCGATTTGACACCCTATAATTCATGTTTTTTGGGAGTTCCTCGAAAATTATAACACATTCCTTCTTTATTTGCTAAATCGCCAAGTAACGGGTGCCACATATGAAACAGGATCTGCTTACCCCTTTTTTAGGGTTTCGTGTTGCTCAGCCTTTGGTTTTCTATGTTGCGCTTAATATACTGTTGAGTCAAACTTTTTATTATGTTTTTCAAAAAAGAATTAACTACATTTTGGCAAATAATTTAAAAAAATCTACCGATTTTAATTTAGACCACACTCATGAAAACTATAAGAGAGAGAGAGAGAGAAATTGTTGACATAAAATCAAAGTACTGAAGTACTGAACATCGGATGACCTCAAGTTGTGTTGGATTATGGATAAATGACAAGTGTTTATATAATACCTGCCAGACAAATATGTTCACCTTACAATATAGTACACATAATATAATTTGCTATCATATCTGAGATATGGACTTGAACTAGGAAACTTAACTTTGTGAATTATCCATGAAATGTTGACGAGGTCAAATGAGAACTGTAAGACTGGCATTATGACCTTACTAGTTGCACACATACAAAAATCGT